TCGGGGTTTCTATTTCGTTCACCGTCTGCTTTGTCTTTAAAAATCTTCCAGATTCTACACTGACGGACTCTTGCAACCTTGCCTGCTGCTATTATTTTTGTTGTCGTTGCCATCTGTGGCTGGTTGCGTTGCCTACAGTATGGGTCGTGAATGTTCACGGCCATTCGTGGGTTTATTATAGGCGGCGTGGTTCTTGGTCTCACCTGTTCTATCGGTGGGATCCTAAGACAGCGACTAATGATTAAGTTTTGTTAAACTACAGACCATAAAGTGACGGCCATTGTACACTTTTCTTCATACTAGCCTTCTTAATTCTCTGCTCTTTTCAGGTATTGCTGGTGACTGACCCCGAGGGCCTTTTCAACTTTGGGCAGGACAAGCTTTCCGTCAAGGTGCTTCTCTGTGACACTATTACTCAAGCCAAGGCCAAGATTCTTGACGCCATATACCGGAATGTGCCCTACTCGCAGCAGATTAAGCCTCAAGAAGTACAACTTGGTAAGTAGGCATGCGGTAGGAATCAGTATGTGCTTTCGTATAAACTGGAACACGCGCATCCCAAAAAAATTAAATTTGAATAAGATGTTCTTTGGGATAAAATAATTTTAGTGAGTGAATTTTCGAGTTTGGTTCCCCAACTCGTCTTCGGACTAACAAGAAAATTGCAATAAACAACTAAAATTTCAAAACTGCCGAAAGAATCAATAGTTATGCAAAGTGAGACGTGATTGGTAGGTTTGGTCTCAGTTAGTATGTGCTTTCTTACTATCATAAAATTTCCCATTTGGCGACTTTGGCTACTATCTTAGACATGACTACATATAGGACATCTGAACCTCCGGTAGCCTGTGTATTCCACACGGCCTCCTTTTACTTGTCCTGAAAGGAGGCATTTGCAGAAGCACCTTATGGCAAAATTGACTGGAGAAGCCTAATGTACTTAACGAACTTTGAACGACCGTCTGTCCGGCGTAATTATCGAAAATACCGATTCGGGAGACCAAAGTCTTTATACTTGGCAAAACTGTTGTAGGGCTCCTTGAATATCTATTTCCCCCCCCAACTGTCTATAGTAATTTGTGGTCAAACGTTTAATCCTTGGTTTGCGAGTGTAAACGAATATTTAATTGCGTTGGAAGTGATCAAAAAATATTAAATTAAAGAAACTTATCTTTGTTACAATATGCTAAATAGAATCAAATCCACCAAAATGAACTCCTGTTGCTCAGGCAACCGATGCCTTTTGATGAAAACTCAACCTTATATTGGCGGAAATGTCCGAAAAAATGGATAGTCAAGTTATTGAGAATGCAAAAGTGCGTTATTGTTATAAGTCAAAAGCAAATAAAACCTCTAATTTGTTATTTTCCGTCTTCATTATGCGACATTTCCGAGCCATCTTATTTATCAAATTCATCGGCTTCATTCACTATCTCTGTATAAGTTGATTTCTGTACTATCGTCCTGAATATCACAATATTTTTCTTTTTGCGTTTATTTAATGGTTTTCGGTCGGATGACTGGGACGTGAAATACACTTTCATGTGAAATACACTTTCAACGTGGTTTTGCCAATAGCTGACTATGTGTGCGCTAATACGACCTGGTTTTGACATGCCCATTACTATGTACTTTTTGCTTAGGCAAAATCGGCGAAACCAATGGGAGTTGTTCGCCACGTAAGTTATTTGTTCCCTTCACGGTAGCATTTTTTCAATAAACATTTCTCATCCTTTCCGAACGAGCCTTTTCACTGGAGCTTTGGTTTATACATTTTCTCGTGTTTGTGCCTACAGCTTCGCACAATGTTGTCTGTGTTATGACAGACTACGACATCAAGATCCGTCGCGATGCACGGCTAGCCGCAACTCAGGGACCGCCATATCCACTGAATTGTCTGCATGACTATGGGGTAGGTCTTGCTACATTTGAGAAATTAAGCCGCGTTGCATACTACGTTTTGCACATATGTGTGCTGACTTCCCAAAAAATTGTATTTTATGCATCTTTTGGGTAGCACCACCGTATCTACTGACGTTTCCATGGATGTAACTTAGGCATTTGCAACCTGTTACTTGATAGGCAGCGCTAGTGTGTGCGTTTGAGGGAGAGAAGGGGTATAGCTGCTAACTTCATTCGTTTGATAGAAACTCACCAGCTTACATTGTGGGTACATCTCCTTCTATCGTGTTCATCTATTAAGTTTGTAGCCTTCAAAGAAGTCAACAAGTTCACGCGAATGGATTAATTCGTCTAGAAGGCGCTTGCCACCACAATACCTGTTGGAATTTAACTTTGTACGTGTGTATTTCCCTCTTTGAGTATGAAAAATGGCGGCAGACTTTATCGCTCCCTATCTAGAGGACATATTACGAAGCAGCCGCTTGCTAAGTATCTTTCAACCACGTTCCACAGCTCTAATGTCTTTATTATTCGGCTTTTCAGCTTACAAATAATGATTTGGTCGCCCTGGTCCGCCTAAACCCGCACATGACCGCCTCCATGCAACCTTTCCACGGTAAAGGCGTTTTTTTAATTCATGTTGTCTGAGTTTTTACATCCACAAGGAGGACTACATAAATGCTGCTGGTTTATGTTTTATCGCTTCCGTTTTTTAAAAAAAATTCTTTTTTTC